GAAGAAGTATGGTGTACAGAATTTTGACTCACTATTTAAGGCCTAACTCAGTAATTACCTAGTCATAAATCAACCCAGACAGAATTTATTATTCCCATCCTAACATAGTAGTTGTAAAACTTGAGCGTGTCTAAGAATCATCTGGAGTGCTGTCCCACCCATGGTTTCTGATTTAGTGGGTTTAGGTTAGGGCCCAGTAATTTACATTCCTAATAAGTTCCAATGGATCCAGGGACCACACATTGGAAAACATTGTCCTAACACACTGTATACCAGCAAGGATTGTGTTTTATCTGAGAAACCAGTATATTATCTCCTCACAAATATTGTGAATCATTTAATTAATGCTATAGGCTAAATGTTTGAATTTTTATCCCACCCCAGAGTCATATGGTGAAACCTAATCCTAAATGTGATGGTGTTTGGAGTGCAGCCTTTGGGAAGTAACTAACTCTTTAAAGGATTAGTGCCCTTCTAAAAGAGGCCCCAGGGAGATCATTTGCCCCTTCCACCAGTGAGAAGATGGCCATCTATAAGCCAGAAAGTGGACTTTCAGCAAACACCATACTTGACAACATCTTAATCTTGGACTTCCTAGTCTCCAGAACACTGAAAACTAAATATTGTTTAAGACACTTAATCTGTAGTTTTTGTTATAACAACAAAAATAGACCAAGACAGTCAGACATTCTTTTCCACCCTGAATGAGGAAACTCATGGACAATTTTGTAGCTACATTTCATAACTGTAGTATAATCTGGCTTACTTATCTACATCCAGTTATTTCTCCTGTCTTGACTGTGTGGAAAAACATGATAGTAAAACAAAACAGAAACAGTGACAAAAATATTGCTTTATGCTTAGGTTTTAGAAAACAGTCAGGATTCCTATGTTAAAAACAAAACAAAACAAACAATTTCTAGGGGGCCTGGGTTAGGACCAGTTGGTTAAGAGTCTGACTCTTGATTTTAGCTCAGATCATAATCTCAGGGTCCTTAGATTAAACCCCACACCAGGCTCTGCACTGGGTGTGGAGACTGTTTAAGATTCTCCCCCTCTCCCTCTACCCAGATCCCTGCTGGAATCCTCTATCTCTCAAACAAAACAAAACAAAACAAAAAAAATCTTCTATACTTCTCAATGCTATAATGAAAAGATGAGCTTTTAAGGTTTTGTTTTGTTTGAGGAAGGCAAGATGTTGGAGAAGTAGGGGACACCATATCAACTGATCCTCTGAATTTAGGTGCGTATTTATCAAATCATTTTGAACACCCATGAAATCAGCCTGAGATGTAAGAATATACAACTGGATCTCTACAAACAGAAAAACTACTGTTTTTGGCAAGGTTGGAAGGGTGGAGTCATGAATCTGCTGGGAGATATTGGAAGATAAACAGAAGGGGGAGGGAGCCACTGTAAGCTGGCACCTGGAAAATGACATAACATTGGAGGGCAAAATCAGAACACTTAGAAATCTGCTCTTGTAAGAGACACCCTTCCCTGAAGGGGGCTTTGGAAATGAAAAGGCAGAATTCTTGGTAAGACACTGTGGTCTCAGGATAGAAGGGACCACAGAGCAAAAGGAGATTCCTGAAACAGTAGAGGGCTCAAGCATTGGAGCCAGGAAGTAGGTTATGGTCAGTGAGCGTAGGAAGAGACTCTCAACAAGGATCACCAGAAACTGTGAATCGGAAGGGTCAATATCCACTCTTTCCTTGAACAGACTAAAAATTCTTGAACCACCATCTACAACAGGGCAATAACACAAAGGAGTAGTGGCCAGGAAAAGGCTTAGAGCAGAACTGGGTCTGATTCTGGAGCTTCGGGTACACGCATGAGCCCACAGTCTACTCCTAGTTTTAAAAGCACAAAGGCAGAGATACTCCTGGGCCCCTGAAAACTCTTCCAGGAGAATAGCTGTGGGCTTGCACTGCAGAAAGCTGTGGTTTGCAGCAGCACAAGTAGAAGTGGAGACTGTTTGTCTTGCAGAGTTTATTAAAGAGGGCAGACTCTGAATTATCTGTTCTGGGCCAGAGGTTTGGCTGCTGCCATTTTTGCTCTAATCCCCTGAAGAGACATGGAAAGGCCCCAGAGTAAAAAAAAAAAAAAAAACTCAGAAATCTGGTTTTCACTAAGCCCATACCCAAGATAGGGGGTGGGGCAACTCTGAACAGGCAGGATTCCCTGAGAAACAGAGCAAAAGGCCCCTCCCCCAGAAGGGAGTCTGGAAGAACAGGTGGATGACAATCCTTTGGATCCTATAAGATTGCAAAGTCCCAGCACAAAGGGAAAATTGTTTATTGAGCTCCAGGTGGGTCCTCACAACTTATTTATTTTTCAAATATAATTTTCCTTTCCTTTTCTTTCTTTTTTTGTTTTTTTTTTCTTTTCTTATGCCATTTTCCACTGCTGTATTCCTTATATCTTATCCTCATTTTAACTAGATGTCTATTATACCAACTCATTTTTTCATAGGTCCTTTTTAACTTATATTTTTCCACACATATTTTTTTATAGATACATGCTTTATTTTAACCCATTTTTCACTCTATTCAGTTTTACCTTCTTATGTATACAAGTTTTACTTTCCTAGTAATTTTGGGATATAGTGTCCTCCAACACACAGACCAAAATACACCCAGGAACAACTGAAACATCCTGCTTTGTCCACATTGAGAGATTATAGCCCTCCTTTCCTTCCCCTTTTTAAATTTTATTTATTTTCTATTATATATGTATATATAATATGTATTATTTTATTTATTATTAAAAATGTTTAATTATTTTAAAATAAAAATGTTCACTATTTATTATTAAAAATTAAAAATAATATACATACATGTATTTTTTTAAATATTTTTTTAAATTTTATTTTTATATTTCATTTGGCTTTGATTTTTTGGTGGTGGCATCTGACCATGCCAGATTTTGCTAGGGTGCATCAAACTTGGGTGTAGTTGATATTTTGGACTCTGTCCATTAGTTCAACCATCCAATGACAGAATGACTAAAAGGAGGAACTCCCAACAAAGAAAAGAACCAGAGACAATGTCTTCTGCCACAGAACTAACGGATAGGGATATAAGCAAATGTCAGAGATAGACTTCAGGATAGCAATCACGAAGTCAATAGCTAGGCTTGAAAAAAGCTTTAGTGACAATATATAATCTCTAAGGGCAGAAATGAGTTCTAGTCAGACTGAACTTAAAAATGCTATGAATGAGATGCAGTCTAAACTGGATAATCTAAAATCCAGGGTAAATGATGTAGAAGAATGAATTAGTGACCTAGAAGATAAGATGATAGAAAAGAAGATAATAAGATAGAAAAGAAGATAAGAAGATAGAAAAGAAGATAAGATGATAGAAAAGAAAAGAAGAAAAGATGATAGAAAAGAAAAGAATAAAAGATGATAGAAAAGAAGTCTCCCTGAAGGAGACAGGGATAGACAGCTACAGACACATGAAAATGGACTTAGAGAAATCAAAGATGCAATGAAATGCTCCAATGTCAGAATTACTGGGATCTCCAAGGTGGTAGAAAGAGAGAGAGAACAGAAGGCATATTTGAAAAAAATCATACCTAAGAACTTCCCTAATCTGGAGAAGGAAATAAGCATTCAAGTCCAAGAAGCAGAGAAGACCCCTTCCAAAATCAATAAAAATAGATCAACATCCCAACATGTAATAGTGAAGCTTGCAAATCTTAGAGCCAAGGAAACCATCCTGAGAACAGGTAGGGAGAAGAGTTTTCTTACCTACAGGGGGAGAAACATCACAATAATGTCAGACTTGTCCACAGGGACCTGGCAAACCATAAAGGGCTGGCAGGACACATTTAGGGTAATGAATGGAAAGAATACTTTACCCAGCAAGACTGTCACTCAGAATGGAAGGAGAGATAAAAAGCTTTCAGGACAGGCAGAAACTGAAAGAATATGTGACCACCAAACCAGCTCTGCAAGAAATATTAAAAGGAATTCTGTAAATGAAGAGAAACCCCAAGATTCACGTAGACAAGAAAGAAACAGAAAACCTACAGAAACAGAGACCTTACAGGCAATATAATGGCAATAAACTGATACATTTCAATAGCTACTTTGAATGTAAATAGGCTAAATGCTCCCATGAAAAGAAACAAGGTTTCAGATTGGATAAAGAAGCAGGACCCATCCATATGGTGTCTACAAGAGACACATTTTGAACCTCAAGACACCTCCATATTGAAAGTAAGGGGATGGAGAATGATTTACCATGCTAGTGAACCTCAAAAGAAAGCTGGGGTAGAAATTGCCATATCAGATAAATTAGATTTTAAAACAAAGACTGAAGTAAGAGATGTAGAGAGAGACTATATCATAATTAAAGGGTCTATCCATGAAGAAGATCCAACAATTGTAAATATCTATGCCCCCCAACATGGGAGCAACTAATTATATAAACCAATTAATAAACAAAATAAAGAAACATATAGATGATAGTACATTAATACTAGGAGACCCCAACACTCCACTCACAGCAATGGACAGATCATCTAAGCAGAGGATCAACAAAGAAACAAGGGCCTTGAATGAAACATTGGACCAGATGGACTTCGTAGCTATATAGAGAACATTCCATCCTAAAACAATAGAATACTCATTCTTCTCGAGTGCACATGGAACTTTCTCCAGAATAGACCACATGCTGAGTTACAAATCAGGTCTCAACTAATACCAAAAGATTGAGATTATCCCCTGTATATTTTCAGACCACAGTACTTTGAAACTGGAACTCAACCACAAAAAGAAATTTGGAGCTCAAACACTTGGAAGTTAAAGAGCATCTTGCTAAAGAATGAATGGGTCAACCAGGAAATTAAAGAACTCAAACAATTCATGGAAACTAGTGAGAATGAAAACACATCAGTCCAAAACTTATGGGATAGTGCAAAAGTAGTCTTAAGAGGGAAATATATAACCATCTAAGCCTCTATCAAAAAATTAGGAAAAAAAGGTTTTTATCTCGTTGGGGACCAAGGTGTCGGTTGGCGCGCAACGGGTTCTAGACTGCAGGCAGCTCGAGGACCCGCGGCCCCGCCCCGGCCCGGCCTGGCAGGTAGCAGAGGCAGCAGGCCGTGCCGGGGGGGCATGTTGCTGTAACCAGTGACCCAGGGGATGTTACGGTGGACAGTGCACCTGGAGGGCGGGCCCCGCAGGGTGAACCATGCTGCAGTGGCTGTTGGGCACCGGGTATACTCCTTCGGGGGTTACTGCTCTGGTGAAGACTATGAAACACTGCGTCAGACTGATGTGCACATTTTCAATGCAGTGTCCTTGCGTTGGACAAAGCTGCCCCCAGTGAGGCCTGCCATCCGTGGGCAGGCTCCTGTGGTACCCTACATGCGGTATGGACACTCAACTGTCCTCATCGACGACATGGTCTTCCTTTGGGGCGGGCGGAATGACACCGAAGGAGCCTGCAATGTGCTTTATGCCTTTGATGTCAATACTCACAAGTGGTCCACACCCCGTGTGTCGGGAACAGTTCCTGGAGCCCGGGATGGACATTCAGCTTGTGTCCTGGGCAAGACCATGTACATTTTCCGGGGCTATGAGCAGCTGGCGGACTGCTTTTCCAATGACATTCACAAGCTGGATACCAGCACCATGACATGGACCCTTATCTGTACAAAGGGCAACCCTGCGCGCTGGAGGGATTTCCACTCGGCCACAATGCTGGGCAGTCACATGTATGTCTTTGGGGGACGTGCTGACCGCTTTGGGCCATTCCATTCCAACAACGAGATTTACTGCAACCGCATCCGTGTCTTTGACACCAGGACTGAGGCCTGGCTGGACTGTCCCCCAACTCCGGTGCTGCCTGAGGGCCGCTGGAGCCACTCAGCCTTTGGCTACAATGGGGAGCTGTACATCTTTGGTGGCTATAATGCGAGGCTGAACCGGCACTTCCATGACCTCTGGAAGTTTAACCCTGTGTCCTTTACCTGGAAGAAGATTGAACCAAAGGGGAAGGGGCCATGTCCCCGCCGGCGCCAGTGCTGCTGTATTGTTGGTGACAAGATTGTTCTCTTTGGGGGTACCAGTCCATCTCCTGAGGAAGGTCTGGGAGATGAATTTGACCTCATAGATCATTCTGACTTACACATTTTGGACTTTAGCCCTAGTCTGAAGACTCTTTGTAAACTGGTCGTGATTCAGTATAACCTGGACCAGTCCTGTTTGCCCCATGACATCAGGTGGGAGCTGAATGCCATGACCACCAACAGCAATATCAGTCGCCCCATCGTCTCCTCCCATGGGTAGGAGAAAGTTGCTGCCGCCTCCCTTCCCGAGCCTGCTATTATCTTCACTGCCCCTTCCCATCCCTCACCTGCCTGCCCCTTTGGACCCTGGACTCGGTATACCTCTGCGTGGAGTTGTTGGACTAGAGGTGTTTCCTGTGCTGTGAACTCAGTGGGGAGCTGTAGGGGGGAGGGCGAGATCCCTCCCCCCTTGGGGCGAGGGCCCCTTCCCCTTGGTGCTCTGTCCCATACACCTCCTTCCAACTGCTCCTGGGCCTCTGCTCTGCCCCAGGCCAGCCAGGCTCTGCTGGGAATTGAAGGAAATGGGGATAAGGGAGAAGCAAGCAGTGTCTGAGCCTCAGGAGCTTCCTCCCCACCCTTGTTTCCACCCCCTCCCCCGCTTGAGCCATGAGCATCCATTGGGAGCTGAGAGGAGTTGCAACTGTTGCCATGAAACCTCCTTCTCCCTGACCTGGGGAGGCGAGGACCGGCAGATAATCCCACCCTTCCCTGAGCTGTTGCTGTTCCCTGACGCTCCCAGCCAGCTCAGATTTTATAAAAATGAATTAAAAATCTCAAAAAAAAAAAAATTAGGAAAAAAAAAACCTGAATGCACAAGCTAACATTACACTTAAAGGACCTGGAGAAAGAACAGCAAATAAAACTAAACCAAGCAGGAGAAGAGAAATAATAAAGATTAGAGCAGAGATCAGTGAAATAGAAACCAGAAAAAGAGTAGAACCTAACAACAAAACTAGAAACTGGTTCTTTGAAAGAATTAATAAGATCAATAAACCACTGGCCAGACTTATCCAAAAGAAAAAGGAAAGGACCCAAATAAATAAAATCATGAATGAAAGGGAAGAGATCACAGCTAACACCAAGGAAATAGAAACAATCATCAGAAATTATTACCAGCAACTATAGGCCAAAAAATTAAGCAATCTATAAGAAATGGACGCATTCCTGGGAACTTATAAACTACAAAAACTGAAACAGGAAGAAATAGACAATCTGAACAGACACATAACCAGCAAGGAAATTGAAGCAGTAATCAAAAATCTACCAAAAAAACAAGAGTCCAGGGCCAGATGGTTTCCCAGGGGAATTCTACAAAACCTTTAAAGAAGAAATAATACCCATTCTCCTGAAGCTGTTTAAAAAAATAGAAATGGAAGGAAAACTTCCAAACTCCTTCTATGAAGCCAACATTATCCTGATCCCAAACCCAAGACCCCATCAAAAAGGAAAATTAGAAACAAACATCCCTGATGAATATGGAAGCAAAAAGGAAAATTAGAAACCAACATCCCTGATGAATATGGAAGCCAAAATACTGAACAAGATCCTAGTCAATAGGATCCAACAGTACATTAAAAGGACTATTCACCAGGACCAGATGGGATTTATTCCTGGGATGCAACAGTGGTTCAACATTTGCAAATCAATCAATGTGATGAAGCACATTAATAAAAGAAAAGACAAGAACCATATGATCCTCTTAATCAATGCAGAGAAAGCATTTGACAAAATACAGCATCCTTTCCTGATTAAAACACTCTGAAGTACAGAGATAGTGGGAACATACTTCAGTGTCATAAAAGCCATCTATGAAAAGCCCACAGTGAATAACAATCTCAATGAGGATAAACTGAGAGCTTTTCACTTAAGGTGAGGAACACAAGGATGCCTACTCTCACCATTATTGTTCAACATAGTACTAGAAGTCCTAGCCTCAGCAATCAGAAAACAATAACAACAAAAAATAAATAAATAAATGGCATTCAAATTGACAAAGAAGCAGTCAAACTCTCTTTGCAGAGGACATACTTTTTGTGGAAAACCCAAAAGACTCCACCCCTAAATTATTAGAATTCATGCTGAATTCATGGCTGAATACAAAATCAATGCACAGAAATCAGTTGCATTTCCTAACTTATCTGGTCCACAGTTTCCTCCACTGTATAATGTATAACAATGTTGTGTACAAAGAGTCAATATAATGTATGCAGTGCATGTATATGCTACATAGTAATACTGTAAGAAGTGTTATTATTCTTATTTGTTTTGTATATTTCCTCTAAGTCATGAAAGAAGGTGAACTATAAATACATTTCAAACCCCAACTCAAGTTCCTTGTACCCCTGACCTCTCCAGTCCTTGTTGACTTCAACTTTCTTGGGTTTGCTGGTGTGTATGTGTGTGTGTGTGTGTGTATATATATATATATATATATATATATATATATATATGAACTTATATTCTAATAGCATCAGTGTTTACTAACAATTAAATTTACTGGTCATTTACTATGTGCCACCCACTTTAGATATATTATGTCATATAATCCTCATGACAATGCTACAAGGAAGGGATATACTGCCATTTTGCCCATTTGACCATCAAGAAATTATCAAACTCTTACCTATGTATTATTATCTCCAACTAGTATATTATTTGCTATTATGTCTAGGGTGTAGATTATGAACACTAGTACCTTGACAAACCCTTTATCTGCACTAAAATACAGACTACACCAGTAGTAGACCGAGAATCTTACTCTGTCAACCCTACTGCAAACATCCATGGCTTGATCACTGGCCTTTTCAGGATCTTCCCAGTTTCTCTCATAGTCATATAGTTAGTTTATATTCTCCAGGAACTCTGGCCCTTAAAATTGTTTTAAAGTAGGAAACTCCATTCATTTTATTTAAAGCTTTCAACCCTTCCTAAAATAATAGCTTTGTAAATGGCTTTTAGGTAGCTATTCCACTTAGACAAGATTCTCTTTTCTCCAAATGCAGGACAATGAAAGTTTCCTGCCCCTGTATGGCAATGCTACTGGTTTCAGATAGCAAAAGGCTTAGGAACAGAATAGTCTCACCACTATTGTGCTCCTTTGGCTGTGTCTGTGCTTTATGTTTCTTTCTGAGGACTGAGCCAAGCAGACATGATTGTGGATCACTACTTCTTCAGAAAAGTTAGCAACAAAAACTATGGTAAATTGCCTGCTTATGAATGTTCCAACTCATTTGCCCCAGAAATACAGGATGTTACCTGCAAGAAATATTAAAAAATCATTTCAATCTTCATTTTTACCTCATTTGGTAGGATACAAAATGGTAAAGTAACTTGCCCAGGGATAAACAGACTTACTGTTAATTAGATCTTGAATTGTGGCTAAAAATAAGCCTCTCACTCAAATAATCTTTCTGCTTCACCTGTCTGCCTCCCTAATGAGAGAATAAAGTTCTGTGTAAACCTCCCCAAAACCAAGGGCACCAATGGTAAGGGAAAGCACAGAGCAGATGAGTTGTGGTTCAGTGAGAAGCAGAGATTGACATTGAGGAATTTTTAACTACTAACAGCCTTTTCTATTATCCTCTGCTTTTAACAGCCATTCTTTGGAGTATAAGCAGGGCTTGTGTCCCTTCCCCTACTTATCTCATTTTATGTACCTTCAAGTGCAAAACAATAGTTACCTAGGCCTTAGAACATAGCTTTCCCTCTAAATATAATGGATATTAATTAACTAACTAATGTAATATTTTTCATCCCTTCAATGCATTAAGCATTGTTTTAGACACTGATAAGATGGTATATAGGCAACATGGTCTCTGCACTCATGAAAATTGTACTCTCATACTATATCCACATTATCTTTTCTACCCAAAGAAATAATATTCATTTATTAATAAGTATATGGCCCATGGACATTTTAAATCACATTTTTAAATTTTCTCAAGATAAATTAGATTGTTTTAAATAATGTATAATATTCCTCCAAAATGTGTGTTCTTTTTCTAGAATCACCATACATTAGGTTGACCATACATTCTGATTTGCCTGGAATAGAACTGGATTTCATTTGTAATTGTAATATAATTAATAATGATACTCCCTTTCACTCTTTAAAATGTCTTAGTTTGGATAACAGCATATGATCACTCTTCCATCTACCCACTCACACAATCTAGGTGATACCTTTAACTTCTACACCTATGAATACCCACACATATCCTATAAATTCTATTGTCCTAATTTTTAAATTTAGCTACTTCTCTCTGTACCACCTCTATTCTAATTTAGACAACCATCATCATCTCTTTATTATTTATTCTTACCAGCCTCTATTGGTTCCCTCTACTTCCAATTTTGTCTATTTGAATAAACATATTTTTCATTAAAGTGATCTTTCTGAATTCCAAATTTGATCTCACTATTCTGTTGCCTAATTCTTCCAAGGATTCACCTGTACCTAAAAATAAAAAGAAAACAAAACTCCCTTACTATAGTATATTAAGTCCTTCAGTCCTATATTTCCAACCTCATTTCTATAACTCTACACTTCACCACAATGCTCCAACCATGATGAAGTACTCACATTTCCATGAATGTGTGATGTGTTCTGATATACTGATGAACATGAGTAAATAATTTATGCTCTTGCAATATTCTTTTCCCACTTTTCATGTGACTAATTTTCTTTCAGCTCCTAATTTGGAATTATCTTCTGGAAAGCCTTCCCAGATTTCTCCCCAAGTCTGATTTAGGTACCTCTCTGTGCCTTTATAAGATCCTGTGCTTCCCTTATCAACTGGATCATGCACTGGATATTATACTTGGAGACATACATTGAATTTTTCTTGATCAAGTGTACATCAAGAGAAATAGAAAAGTTTCTTGCAAGCATTAGATATTCAAAACACATTTGTTTAGTAAATAAATTAAGGAAATGATAGAATTCTAGGTGCAAGATAAAATTATTATTGTTAGAAATTAACAGTCAGCATCCCCATCCACCTTCCACCTAAATAATAACAGGTGAGCCTACATAAAAGATTGTCCTGAAAACTTCCATTTCTAGATGAGATGGACTAAATCTACTCCATCCCATTATTCTTGATAGCTATGGCTAAAATTCCTGGATAAAACTTATAAAACAAATGTCAGAAGACTCTATTTCTCTTGACTTCATATTGGAATTCAAATTGGCTATCAGCAAGGCAGTAAGTATGGGTTGGTTTGGGTTAAAGAAATGCAGAAGAGCTATTCGTAGAGAAGATTTGATCAACTTCCTGTGTGGAAAAGTTCCTCCACCACAAAACTCTAGACCTTTCCCAAGAAAGACTATAGTGTCCTCTAACTGAGCTACTTCAATGGAAATCAGCTCATCTGTAGGGACTATTTCTCAACCCTTCTGGGAAAACAGAGCTCTGCATGGTCTTAGTGGTACAATGGCTAGTATAAACATACACTTGAGTACCCCAAGCTCTCTTATACATATAAGCAATGGATGGAATGCTAGTTGAAGGATAAATGGACTCCATGATGTCATATTGAACACTTTCACATCAGAAGAAATGACACTCCACTTGGACAATGCGTGAACCAGAAGGTGTACTTAGTGCAGTGTGAACATATGATTATAGACTTGCCAACCCATAACACAACAGAATGATTTAAACTCCAGACATTTTTACACCCACCATGCTGCTTGAAAGCCACTTGATCTCCAACATATACTACTATTGCAAAGGAAACATGAGCCATCTTCCCTTACAAACTGTTTAAGACAAGTGAATTCTAT